GCTGCTGCTATAATAAACTATAATAAACACACAGCGCACTCCACTGCGGCGGTGGTACGACCTGCTCCTGCTGCAGCTGCAGCAGCAACTGGCGCTGCAGCTGCTGCAGCAACGGCTGCAGCTGCTGCAGCAACGGCTGCAGCTGCAGCAGCAGCGGCTGCAGCAGCAACTGGCGCTGCAGCAATGGCCGCAGCTGCAGCAGCAACTGGCGCTGCAGCTGCTGCAGCAACAGGATCGGCTGCTGCTGCTGCCTGCTGCTGCTGCCTGCTGCTGCTGCTGCAGCAGCAGATCCTGCCTCTACTGTAGCAGGAGATGCTGCCTGCTGCTGCAGCAGCAGCAGCAGATCCTGCTTCTGCTGTAGCAGGAGATGCTGCTGCTGCTGCAGCAGCAGATCCTACTGCTGCAGCAGCAGCCGATCCTTCTTCTGCTGCAGCAGTCGATCCAGCAGCAGCAGCAGCAGCAGCAGCGGAGTGTGGCGTTGCTGCTGCATGCATGCAGCGTTTAGAACCCCCTGACTTCTTTGCTGCTGCTGCTGCTGATGAGGTGCTGCTGGTCTAGCTTTGCTTCCTCCCATTCTGCTGCTGTTAGCGGCGGCAGCCCGCTCAGGTGTCTACGCAGGTTGCATGCATGTCTGCTGCTCTTGCAGTGTATACGCAGCTCAGCTGCATCCTTCATACCTTCGTTGCAGCAGCGGCAACGAACCCGGTGCTGCTGCTGCTCCTCCTGCTGCTCCTGCTGCTTCTGCTGCTGCTGCTGCTGCTGCTGCTCCGGCCTAGCACAAGAACCAGCTGATGGCTCGGACTCCTGCTGCTGCTGCTGCTGCTGCTGCTGCTGCTGCTGCTGCAGTGGTGGCGGCATATCCCTGCAGAGAAGGCTGAAAGCATCGCGCGTTAAACTGTCGTCGAATTCCTGCTGCTGCTGCTGCTGCTGCTGCGGCTGCTGCTGCTGCTGCTGCTGCTGCTGCAGGCGTTGCTGCTGCTGTTGCTGTTTCTGCTGTTGTTTATGTAGTTTTTTCTGATGCCGTCTATGGTGTGGTTGCTGCTGCTGATGCTGCTGCACTTCATTGTCTTGTCTCTTGTGCTGCTGCTGCTGCTGCTGCTGCTGCTGCTGCTGCTGGTGCTGCTGTCTCCTCCTGTGGTGTTTGTGTTTGCTGCTGTCTGCTGCTGCTTCTTCACTGGCTGCAGCTGGCTGATGAACGCATGCAGATGCATGCAGGGGACAGGGGTTGCGAGGGTAAACCTTCCGCTGCTGCTGCTGCTGCTGCTGCTGCTGCTGCTGCTGCTGCTGCTGTCTCTGTCTTCTGCCTCCTCTCCCCTTTCTTTGGGCTCTCGTTTGTGTGTCTCCCCATTCCTCATTATCCCATTCAGCGCAGCAGCAGCAGACCGAAGGTTCTTTGCTGCTGCTTCTGCTGCTGCTGCTGCTGCTGCTGCTGCTGCTGCTGCTGTTGCTGTTGCTGTTGCTTTTGCTGCTGCTTCTGCTTCTGTGTTTGCTGCTGCTCCTCCTCCTGCTGCTGCTGCTGCTGCAGCAGCTGCAGCACGTTGCTGCAGATGGATGTCTGCTGGGGTCCAACATTAATTTATCTAAGCCAAACCGACGCAGCAGCTCCTGGCCTGTGTCGTCATGCAGCTGCAGCTGCAGCTGCTGCTGCTGCTGCAGCTTCAGCAGCTGCTGCAGCAGCTGCTGCTGCTGATCTACAAGCACAAAATGAAGACATCTATTTGGGTCCTCTCGCTGCATGTTTTGTTCCTCCATTAACTCAAGCTGTCGCTGGTGCTGCTGCTGCTGCTGCTGCTGCTGCAGCAGCAGCCGCTGCTGCTGCTGCTCCTGGTATCTTCTCTCCTCTTCTGCTTCTCTTTTATACAGCTGCTGCAGCTGCTGCTGCACCCGTTGCCGCTCAATGAATTCCTCCTCTAATATATGCTGCTGCAGCATAAGACGGTGCTGCTGCAGCAGCAGCTGCTGCTGCTGCTGCTGCTGCTGCTGCTTCATTTCGTTACTTATTCTCTCCTCCTCTTGTCTTTGTTCTTCGTCTTCTTGCTGCTGCTGCCTGAACCGCCGCAGCATTCTCTTTTGCTGCTGTCTTTCTTTTTGTTTTTGTTTTTCTTTACCTTCTCTTTCTCTTTCTTCTTTTGCTGCTTCTTCTTGCTGCTGCAGCTGCTGCAGCATCCTCTGCTGCTCTTGCTGCTGCTCCCGCTGCTGCTGCAGCAGCTGCTCGTCCTGCTGCGGATCATATAAACAGCTCCAAGAAGCAACAGAAACAGAACCACCAGCAGCAACAACCTTCTCCTCGAGCTCCCTATACACCGCAGGCGAGGCTAAGAAAACAACACGCCACTGAATAGGCTCTGCTGCTGCTGCTGCTGCTGCTGCTGCTGCTGCTTCTTCTTCTTGCTGCTGCTGCTGTTGATGATGGTGATGGTGGCGCGGCTGCTGCTGCTGCTGCTGCTGCTGCTGCAGCAGCGCGTCTACTGTAGGTTCTTGGGACTCTATGTAGCCAGCACAGTCTCTGAGTATGTAGTGCAGCATAGCAGCAGCAGCAGCAGCAGCAGCAGNAGCAGCAGCAGCAGCAGCAGCAGCAGGAGCTTGCTGCGTGGGTTGCGGCAGCGGTAACATAAGAGAGATTTTTATAAGTCTTCTTCGTATAAGCTGAGGATACTGCTGCTGCAGCAGCAGCGCCGCATGCAGAGCCTGGGCCTTTGCATGCAGCCGCAGCCGCACAGAGAAACCCAGCTGCCGCAGCAGAGCAGCAACAGCAGCACGAGATAGAGGCAGCAACGTTGCTGCTGAATACACCAACTCCACCACCAGGGTCACCACATCATCATACAGCTGCCGCAGCTGCTGCCGACGCTCTAACTCTGATACTTGTAAGTCACCTAACATATACACACAAACCCTAAACCCTAAACCCTAAACCCTAAACCCTAAACCCTAAACCCTAAACCCATATAAATGAGCAGTACGCTATACACCCTGTATATAATAAAAAGTAAACAAACAACTATAAAGTATACACTATATATAATAATATTAATACTAAACTCCAAGTAAACCCTAAACCCTAAACCCTAAACCCTAAACCCTAAACCCTAAACCCTAACCTTTTTCTAGTATTCTGAGGATGCATGCGTGTTGGTCGTCTGTGCCGAAGTATCGCTGGAGCTCTGCTTTGCGCGCGAGCTCTCCCTTTGCAACATTCTGAAACACTGCATCCACCTGCAGCACCTGCAGCAGCAGCAGCAGCAGCAGCAGCAGCAGCAGCAGGGACAAGAAAAAGAATAATACAAAACGATAAAGCATGTAAAGACGATAAAGAAAAGTACTCATACATACTACTAACTCAAAACAGAAACACAAATCCTGCTGCTGCTGCTGCTGCTGCTGCTGCTGCTGCTGCTGCTGCTGCTGCAGTATCTGCACATGCTGCTGCTGCTGCTGCTGCTGCTGCTGCTGTTGCTGCTGCTGTTTTTTCTGCTGCTTCTAGCAGCGCATGCGTTGCTGCAGTGTGGTGGGG